TAAATACTCCTTTTCCAAAACCAATTTTCCCAGAATTGCTTTATGGTGGTGGAGTTATAAATATGAACTGAGGTCAGACATAAATCGTCTGAAATAAACTGTTTGTTGGTAGGTGCTTAGCTTATACATACAATTATGAAATATACCGAGCATAACGCTGTTCCAGAATAAGCGGTAATATTTCTACAGGTACAGTCGCAAGGTTTTTGGAGGTGAAGGTACTTTCTTGTCACAGAATCCGATGGCCTGACTTGTGTAATCTTCATCTGTCTGGGACCCGTGACCATCCCTCCCGTCGTGTTTCGGCTGCATTTCTCCAAATTTTGGTGGCACAGTTCATATTCATGCAGCGTAAAGGGACTATCCCACCTTCTAAAATGTTGTTAAAACCAGTTTAACCCGCGCCCCGTAGGGGGGGGGCCGAAACGGCCCCCCCCCCTGTCCTTTTCGGTCGATATCTCCTAAACGGCTGGAGATATCGCCACCAAACTTTCAGGACCCCTCCGGGCATCAATTTTACACATTCTGACCAAAAATTTTTCCAGAGGCTGTGATAGGTTGGCCACAAATGACGTCAGAGTGACGTCATGTTCTGTCATTTTCGACCGAAAAAAGACCTGTCAGGCCTACAGCTTTGAAGATACAGAAAAATGATCAAGACATAAAAGGTGTAGAATTGACAGGGCTACAAAACTGCTATCTCGGATTTTTGAAATTTTTGAGTTTTGATCCCCAAAAATCAAAAAAGCATTTTTTTGGATATATTAGCCAAAAAATCCAAAAAGTTTTTTGAGTTTCGAAAAAACCGGAATATATGTGATAGTACCTACCGTCTTCTATCTACATACCAAATTTCAGATCGATACCTCGTTTTTTGGCCAAGTTATAGCGAAAAAACTGTTCAAAAATGATGACGTCAAATTTTCAAACTCAATTTTTAGCAATTCTAGAACTCGTAGAGCAAAACAAAGACCACCATTAGACTCCCCGTGACGAGCTGCATCGAATGGATACCCATTTTATGCAAAATATCAACTTTGAAATTTGACCTAATTTGACCTGACCTTGACCTGACCTTCACCAAAACGTGACCTAGGCTGGCCCCAAAGGCTGCCTAACCCACATAATCGCATTTGTCATGTAAAATGGACTATAAAACATGTATCACACGACACATTCATATTGTGACCCCCGGTGACCTGACCTCGCTGTGACCTGACCTGGTATCAGTGACCTCAGATAGCAAAGTATGTGTTTGACGAACAATATACCATCGATGGTTTTCAATAAATTACCAATTTACTCGATTTCACAGCACATTTCTTGAATTGCCTGTGAACGGTGAAAATCTGACCTTTGACCTGACCTGTGACGTCATCGGTTTGACCTAGGTCAATGAAATTTGGTCACAAGGTAGTTCCCGGGTAGGGCTATCAAGCGCCGTTTGAATTTTGAAAATCGGCCGGTAACTTTCCGAGATCTTAGGGGGGGGGGCCGAAACGGCCCCCCCTACGGGTGGTAGGGTCCGCCGGTAGCCCTACGGGGCGCGGGTTAACCCTCGCATGTGTGCGGCGTTTGCCAGCTTCTAATGTGTAGGGGGGGGGGTCGGTTGGACCCCCCCCCCCTTGCCGTTTGGCCCCTGATCGAGCTAGAGCTTCGCGGAAAAAACGAGCGTGTTGCCCGTGACGAGAGGAAGCCGATGATACCCAATTTTAAGGTCCTAGGTCATTGGTTGACCTTCCAGGTCAGGTCAATGACCCAAAGTCGGGAAAATCGGGACCTGTTAGAAAGTCGTAAAGTGTGGCTGCTAAGGGGTTTTTCGGGGTGCTGATCACGAATATCGTGTTAGTTTTGATCACAGATGATGTCTTGAAGCATTTAGACCAGGTCGGGTCAGGTCAGGTCAGGTCAACCAGTAGGCGACGTGACGGGTATTCGTAGTACGTGTCAACCGCCTCTGACAGCTTCGTAACATGTTACGAAGTCACCAAAACTACTTCGTAAATGTTCAAATGGTTGCTAAATTCGAATTCAGCTCCAAAAACTAGCCTAGAAACATGTAAAACTCGAAAAGGTGACCCGAGGTCACCCGAGGTCACCAAAGGTCAATGACCTGACCTGACCTTCAGGTGACCTTGACACACACGGGAGTAACATCAAATCACATGTTTGAACGTTTGAAACCACGAAAAGCTTGCAAACACTCGGCTAAGGCGAGCCGACATACGCGAAATCGCGATTCCGGCCAAACATGGTCTCGGAAAAGAGGTCACAGGTCAAAGGTCATTTGGGTCAGGGTCATGAAATTTTCAGGGTAGGTGTAAAATTGATCAATGCGAGGGTACTGAAAATTTCGTCGCGATCGGCCGCTTTTTACGCGAGTTATTCGCGAAAAACCATGGGGGGGGGGGTCCATCCGACCCCCCCCCCCTACACATGCGAGGGTTAAGTTTTAGTTTTAAGTTTTTAGATTTTCGGAAAAAACGGAATATATGTAATA